TGTACGTTGACCCGTACATACTTCCAACACACAAGGAAGAAATAAAGTAAAATGTCATTAAAAACTAAATATGTAAAATGTAAATCCTATAAATTAACATTGTAATATTTTTTAAATATTCCAACTTAAAATATAAAAACTGTTCTTAAATATTTCACTTACATGTCACTATAAATTGTCAACTTAAAAATTTAATATAAAAACAAATTAAGAGCAACAAAAATATTAATTAACTAGGTTTGTAGAATTATTTAAATCGAAGTGAATTTTCTTCGGCATCGTTGGCGAGATACCGGTATCCACACTCGCAATGGAACCTCTCAATGCGCTAGTCATTCTTCCGGGCGGCAACATTGAGGGTGGCGCAGTGACTATTACGTCAGTGAGTGACGTCTCATCCATCGCAGAGAGATGGGTAGAACTTTATTGCGCGGGCGCTCTTTCTTGCAGGTTGCATCGCTTAGATTTGATGTAGCATCCTAAGATCCCGAGTAATGATAATACTAGTCCAATGATACAGATAATAATGTAGTGCGTGTTATTGCTGTTGGATTTCTTCATATGTTTTTTCATGGTTTTCAGGAATAAAATTGTCAGGTAATGATATATTCATGATTTCGTTCAATGATAACTGAGTGTTTTGCATGTCAAGGGCAACAGTGGGACGTATATTTACTTGATTGATATAATCATGCTGAGAATATATGAAAACCTTATCTCCTTTAATCACACATCCCAGTTCCTGTCCCGGTCGCGGTAATTGTTTAGTTGTTATTTCCGACGAACATATCATACGAACGCGGCACTCGTTGCAATATGAGTATAGCCATGTGTCGCGTGCGTGCAATTTGATCCACCTATCAGCACAGTCATTTCTTTGCAACAGGTGTGCAATATGGTTTGTTTTCATTATTTATTTGCATTTGTAAGTCGCACAGGGATTGCCCCATGGTCATTGAATATATGGGCTGATTCACCGGGTAAAACATCTCTTGATCAGTGTGATAGATGTAGTGTTGCATGTTATTTTCTGTCATAGGTATTAGCGTATCTTTTTTAACATTCACAGCTAAATATTTTGTTGCGGTGGTTGTATAAACAACGCTTCCCTGTTTTCTTTGAGGCATGTCAATAATCTTATTTAACTCGAAGGAATCGCGGTTTAAAAGA